GGGGCCGGGGGGGGGCCTCCTACCTCCAATCTGTGCTCTCCCTTCCCACCCTCCCCAGATCCTGAAGGGGAGGAGCCCCGCGAGCCTGTTTGCTCTGCCCCCCTCCCGACTGCTCCTAAAGGAAGCCTGGGAGGGCTCCCCTGTTGCTGTCGGGACTGCTGTCCCCTCCGGTCTGAGCCTTGGGGAGAGCCGGTGGCAGGCCCGAGGATGGCCCAGGAAGGTAGGGGTGGCTGAGGCCGTCCTGCCTCGTGACTGGAGGTGGAGGGGCTGCTCGCTCCCGGCGCTGCCCCCTCCCCGGCCGGCAGCCCTGGGCAGCCCCCAGACGGTGGTACACCTGGCCGCTCCGGGAGGAAGTGCTGGTCTGACAGGAACCAGAGACGCAGGGGTGCCAGCCACCGATCTTGAGACAGACACCCTAAAAACGGGCCGGGGGTAGGACTCGAGCCTTCCGGGGGTGTCCCTCCTCGTGGTCGCCCTTCCCAGGGAGGTCACCGTGCAGTGGCTGCTGGAGAAGGAAGCAGCAGGGGAGCGGCCCTGGGGTTTCTGGCGGGAGAGAGCGCCCCTGAGCCGGAGGCCCGCCGTCCACGAACCCGGGACGTTCACTGGGGCACCTCGGCCCCGATTTCCCTGCCCATGCAGAGTCAGCCCGCTGTGCCGCGGGGGCGGGGCTGACCCCCTTCTGTCACGACAGCACATGACCGCCACCTGCACCTGCGGTGGACGGAGCCTTGACAGGCCCCTGCCCCGAGGGCCTCGTCCACCCGCCCCTCTCCCGCTCCGTTGGGGTGCGTGGCGGGCAGTGTTCGGTTTTGCTTTTGTTGGTTCGTTTTTTAAATGAAAGTACGGGGTCTCGCTCGGCCCCCGGCCCCGTCCGCCGGAGGTGTGGAGCGGGCACGGAGCCGTGGGCTTCAGAATCGGAAGCGTCCTTTTCCACAGGATAAAAGTAACTGCCAGGGATTCTGCCAGAGGGAGGGGGTTCTGGAGGCGGAGCCAGAGGGCTCCTGAGGCAGATAGCTCTGCCATCCGGGAGCAGCCTTTCTTTCACGTGACATAAGGGGGCCGTGCCCGGGTGTCCGCGCCCTGCAGTCCGGGGACCGCCCTGGCCCACAGAGCCTTGTGCCCAGGGGCTCAGAGTCCCTGGGGAGCGGCCGGCGCCGCCGCCGCCCCGCGGCCCGGTCTGCGCTGTCACGGAGCCGCATCCCTGACAGGCAGCACCAGGGCAGCGGGGCGGGAGGCACGCCGGTCCCCGGGGCTGCCCAAATGGGGCGCCGCGGGCTCGGGGGCTGAGAAGAACGCCTCTCCGCTCATCCCTCTGGAGGCCTGTGGCCTAGGGCCGGTCCCCCTGGGCCGGGCTGTGCCCCTCCGGAGGCTCCAGGGGCCGGCGCGTCCCTGCCGCTTCCAGCTTCCGGGGCCCTGCGCGTCTTGGGGGTGGCACATCCTCCTGATCTCTGCCTCCGGGGTCACCTGCCTTGTCCCGCTCCGTCGTCAAACACCCCTCGGCCTCCCGACTGTAGGGGAGCCTGTGATTGCGGTTGGGGGCGCAGGATGGGCTCCCCATCTTGAGAACCTTGACCTGTCGCCTCTGCGAAACCCCAGCCGCCCTGTAAGGGAGCCGCCTGGGCTGGGGATTAGGCCCTGACCCCTTCGGGGCCTCCTGCCGCGGGACGGGAGCTTGTCGTGCGGGAGGGCACGTCGCTACAGACGGGCAGGGCAGGGTGGGGAAGCCCAACTTACCAGGCACAGCCAGGCCTTCTCTGTGGTTCTGGCAGCCACAGGAGCTCAGCGTCCCAGTGGAGAGCACAGAGCCGGGGGTCTAGCCCGGGGCGCACGGAGTTGTCGGGAGCCCCGCGGCGCCCGTGGGAGGGTGCCGGGCTCCGCCTGCAGCCAGCAGGGTCTCTTCTGCAGCAGGAAGCGCTGGGCCCAGCGAGGACTTGAATCCAGCCTCCCTCCTCAGAAACCTCAGTCAGGCCTTTGTGTGGAGGGCACCCGAGAGGGTCTAGGCCAGGGGTCCAGGCGGCCCCCAGGCAGGTGGGCGAAGGTGCTGGGTGGGCGAGGAGGGCGGGCAGCTGTCGCCGGGCCACGGCACGGTCTGCAGCATGCGGCACGGCTGGCAGCGCGGCTCTTGGAAGGCTGCACTGTTACGTGCCCGCCTGACACAGGAAGGACCTGAGGCCCAGAGAAGCGAGCTTGCTTGTCTGAGCCCATGCAGCCACTCAGGGGCAGTGCTCGCGTTGGACCTGGTGGCCTGGGTCATCAGGAGGCCGGGGAACCAGGACCAAGGCCGTGGGGGTGGGGCCGAGCCGCAGAGCTCTGGTGTGGATGGGCGATGGGAGGAGGCGAGGGAGGGTGAGGATTCCCGCCGAGGTGACCGGGCTGACCCCTGACTACCGGCAGTGGCCTCAGCCAGGTCAGGGAGTTGCGGAGGCGGAACCCGTCCCCGGTGCCTGCAGGCGCTGGTCGTGCTGGCCCGGAAGGAAGGTGCGGGGAGCCCTCGCCGCGGGGCTCTGTCCCTGCCAATGGAGGTCCCTTCAGCAGGAGGGGTGGGCGGCAGGGAAGGCGCCACCTCGGGGGCTGCGAAGAGACAGGCAGGGGGCGGGGCCTCTGAGTGTTGCTCCCAGGTCCTGTCCTCGCTGCTGACAGGAGATGCAGCGGGGCCGGAGGGGAGCCCCTCCAGGATGTGGCAGGTGCCAGGCCACGGTCACAGAGTCACGAGGCACAGCCCGTCCAGGGGCAGGTGGCAGGGCCTCTGGTGACGGTGGGGTGGTGTCGGGAGTGGAGAGGGAGTCGCCAGGCAGCGAGCACCGGGCATCACAGTGGCAACAGCTGGGCCTCGGCGCCCGGGGCGTGGGTCTGTGTGGGATGAAGGCGGGGCCCAGGGCGGGAGTCAGGGGCCACGGAGGAGTGGGTGCGGGCCCCAAGTCCCCACTGCCCGTGCAGCGGCAGACAGGCCCGGGAGCCAGCAGCGCCAGCGTTGCCGAGCGCTGCGCGGAGCAGGCGTCCTGAGGGGCAGGTGAGGGGCGCCCCTGCGGGCGGGGACGCCGGGGGGCTCTGTCCGAGGCGCAGCCGTTTTAAAAACCCTGAGAGTGAGGGTGCAGCAGCCGTGCGGGCGGGCCAGCGAGCCCTGCCCGGGAGGCCGGGGGCTGGGGCGGCCCCCCGGAGAGGCCAGCTCGCTGGGGGCGCGTGGGAGCATGTGGTGACTCAGTCCTGTAGACTCGACCAGCGGGGAGGTGGCTGCAGGGCCAGTGGGTTGCAGGGGTCCGGGCAGCACCCGCTAAGGGAGGTGCCGCCCTCAGAGGGAAGGGGCCGCGGGAGCAGGCGGGAAGAGCCGCTGGCAGTGTCCGCAGGGCCTGCGATGGAGCTGGGCTGGGGAAAGAGGGCCAGGCCAGGCCCCCTGGGTTGTGGGAGGCGGTGGCGGCTCATGACATGCGCTCAAGGACCACGTTCCTGCCAGAGCGTCCCGAGGGCTTCGGGGAGAGCTACGGCCGGGGCAGCTGCGAATGGGGCAGTCCCCACCACCAGCACTATCCTCGGGGAAGATTTGGGGGTGGGCAGGTTCGAGGAGGGAGGCCAGTGAGTCTTAGGTTGAAGCCACACGTCCGGAGCACGTGTTAGAGAGCCAGGCAGCCGGAGCAGGGTTGGGGGGATGTGGGACCGGGAGCTCAGTGGCGACGTGGGGCTGAGAGGCGCTGGGCTGCTGTGGTGGGGCCGGGACTCCCGTCTCTCAGCATGACAGCCCAGCCCCCAGCTCTGCGGCCACACGGGAGCCCTTCCTGAGCAGGGGGTGGCGCTCTGGGCGGCTGGTCCCACACACCTTCCCGGCTCTGAGAGGCTGCTTTCCTGCTCCTGACCCTGTGGCCAAGCACTAAGTTTGCCCAGAGGCCAGGAGGGCAGGGCTGGCTTCCGGGTCCAGCGCAGGAGGTCCACGTGGGGAGCCCTGGGGTGCCACGGAGCCTCCCAGTGCCCACACCCTGCCCCGCTGGCACCTGGCAGCAAGGAGCACCTGCCCCTGGCGCCCCACCCCGGGGCTTGCCCTGGGGGAGGAGGCAGCTTGCCCAGCGGTCCTGCTCGGGCAGTTTCTTAGGCGGAAGGACAGGCAGAGCCGCAGGGAGCCAGTGTCCTAAGTTGGCGCCCAGCGTGGCGGCCGCCCCGGAGCGAGACGCTGGCCGGGCACCGCTGCAGTCGCACCACGGTCTGTGCTGGGGGCAGGTGGGGAGGGGCTGTCCTTCCTGGTGGCCACCACCCAGCGGTGGCGCTGTGCCGGGGACTGGCAGGGGCTGCGCCAGGCCCCAGGGGGCCGCCGTCCCTGGAGCCAGTGTGCTGACGTGATGGGCTCCCGGTGGCAAGGGTTGTTCAGACTCTGGCCCCGGAGTCCCTGGCGTTTTCAGAAATGTGCCAGGGGACAGGTGTTGCCAAAAACAGAACCACTCCTGTTTGGCTTGGTTTGGTTTGCATTCTCAGCCGAGTGTCACGCAGCCCTAACCCGGGAGGAAGTGGACCCCGGCCCGCTGAGCAGGCGGCGGCCGGGGCACAGATGGCGGGCGGGCAACTGTGCAAGTGCCGCTGGGGGCCAGGTGGGACAGCGGCCAGGGCGGGGCGGGCGGTGCCCTCGGGAGCCGAGCCGCAGGGAGGACTCCCCAGACGAGGCGGCCTGTGGCAGAAATGCAGACCCGCGCCCTGTCACCCCAGCGCCGACCCCTCCTGCCCCCCCGCCCCGGCCTCTTCCCCTCCCGGGGCCGCATGGCCCCCACCTGCAAGCAGCGCGTCCCACTGGGCGCCCCGCTGCGGCTGCCAGCCGGGACCGGGGGACCGGTCGTGCTGCTCTGGAAGGGTTCCTTGTCTCACTGACTGAGAGTGAGCAGATATCGCTGGAGTCAGGGTCTAATGAAGCTGAGGAGGTGGTTCATGCTGGGTAGGCAGCCCTCCGGCCCGGCCCCTTCAAGTGGCAGGGAAGCCACTGTGTTCCCCAGGCGTGACCACTCTCCTTCTCCCTGGGTGTGCAGGTCCCGCTGGCTCTTCGTTCGCGCGCCCGCCGGCCCCCCCACCCCAGGAATGGAGTGAGTCTATGCACAGCCTCTGGATAAGCGTGGGGGGCCGTCCCATGCTGGGGTCCATGACCAAGGCCGCGGACCCCCGCTTCCGCCCCCGCTGGAAGGTGATCCTCCCGTCCTTCGTGGGCGCTGCCTTCCTCTGGCTCCTCTACTCCCACCGCCCGGCCCCAGGCAGGCCCCCCGTGCCCGGCCCCCACCACTGGAGGCTCAGCCGGACGCCCGCGGCGCGGTACAATGACACCTACCCGCTGTCTGCCCCCCAGAGGATGCTGGGCGGCACCCGGTACCGAATCGCACTCATTGCCGACCTGGACACGGAGTCAAAGGCCAAAGAGGAAAACACCTGGTTCAGTTACCTAAAGAAGGGCTATCTGACCCTGTCCGACAGTGGGGACAAGGTGACCGTGGAGTGGGACAAAGGGCACAGCGTCCTGAAGTCCCACCTGGCTGAAAACGGGCGGGGCATGGAGCTGTCCGACCTGATTGTCTTCAACGGGAAGCTCTACTCGGTGGACGACCGCACAGGGGTTGTCTACCAGATCGAAGGCACCAAGGCTGTGCCCTGGGTGATCCTGCCCGACGGCGATGGAACCGTGGCCAAAGGTGAGTGGGCGGCCCCGCCTCCCGGCTCGGGGGAGGGGCAGGGGCAGGGGCAGGGGGCCGGCTCCGGGCGGCCCCACTGACTGGGCGCACGTGCCCGGAGGAAAGCCCTCCCGCCTTCAGAAGGAGGCAGCGTCCCGGAGAGCGTGCCCCTCCTGGCCGCGGCCCCCCCGGCCCCGGAGCACGCCCTACCGGCCTCGGTCCAGGGCCGTTTTCGGGAGTGTGAACTTGTTGCTTGAGGGCTGTGGGGCAAGGTGCTCTCTCCAGGATGGGACTTGGGCTGTCCTGCTGCTCTGCGCCCCTCCAGGGACGCAGCCCTCTTCACGTCTCACAAGGTGCCTTAAGGGCACGCTGGGATCACGCCCTCCGAGGGCCTCCCCGGGCAGCCCGGCGGGGCCAGGTGGTCGTCACTGCGGGCTGGGGCGGTTGGGAAGGGTGGCTTCTCCTGCCCAGCCCTCCTTTCCGGAAGCGCGGCCAGGGGTCTGTGTGAGCAAGGACCCCATACGCATGGACGCTGTGCCCCGTGGCCCTGCCATTTGCCGGAAAGGGTCGCTGCGGTAGCAGCGGGAGCCGACCAAGAGGGCACGGGGCCCGGGGCCTTCGGCGGCCGGCGGCGGGAGCTGACCAGAGCTTCCGTGTGTGCCTCGCTCTCGCTGTGGTTTGAACCCCCTAGAAAGCGAACCTCCGCTGCGGCTGCCTGGGGCGGAAGGAGGCACCCTAGAAACGGGGACTCGGGGGGTCGGGGGACACTGGCGAGCGGTGGGCTGGGCCTTCCAGAGCCGAGCGCAGTGGGACACCCGTGGCAGGAGCAGCTGACATCCATTGGCGTCCCGGGACGTCCCCGCAGAGCCCGGGGCTGAGTGGCCGGAGGCAAATGTGCCAGCCCTGGGGGGCGGGGAGAGTGGGGGGCGGGGAGAGTGGAGGCCGGTGACACCGGCGGGAGGCCGGTGCCAGTCGCCCTGTTTGAATTGTCGGAGGGTCCGCCCCAAAGAGGGGTGCCTGGCTGCGGGCGCCCCAGGACCAGCGCTTGAGCTGGGCCATCCTGTCCGCTCTCCGGTCACTGCCTCAGGGGAGGGCCACCACGGCGACCTCTGCCGCCCAGGCCCCAGGCCCCAGGCCCCAGGGGTGCCCGGCAAGCAGACGGCCGGCCCTGGCCTCAGGCCACTCTCGCCCTCACGTCCCCAGGCTTCAAAGCTGAGTGGCTGGCGGTGAAGGACGAGCACCTTTACGTGGGCGGCCTGGGCAAGGAGTGGACCACTGCCACGGGGGAGGTGCTGAACGAGAACCCGAAGTGGGTGAAAGTGGTGGGCTTCCGCGGCAGCGTGGACCACGAGAGCTGGGTGTCCAGGTACAACGCGCTGCGGGCCGCCGCTGGGGTCCACCCGCCAGGTAAGTGCTGGGCCGGGGCGCCTGCAGCGGGTTTCGGCTTGACCTGGCCCCCCGACCCCCCGTGGCCCTCCCATCTCGGGCGGAGACGTCGTGGCCGTGCTCCAGGGCTGGCAACGGGGACAGAGCTCCGGGCCTGCCCGTTGCCTCCCGAGGGGCGTCGTGGCTCGCAGTGGGGAGTCAGGATGCTTGGAGCGGCCTGGCCGGCCCCGGGCTTGGGGGGACATGGCTGAGGACTCCCACATAGTCCCCGCCACGGGAAAGCTGAGGTGCTGCCGCTCAAGCCCCGAGGCGGACTCGCTCTGCCCGCCCAGCCTCGGTCGCAGGTCAGCCTCGCTGGTCCTCTCGCTCCCTCCCCGGGGCGCTCTGCACGCTCTGATCAGCACCAGGGAAGCGGAAGGACAGACAGACCTCATGGCGGTGGCTTCTCCGCAGCTCCAGGGGAGCCGGGGCCCAGGGGCAGGACAGCCTCCGTAAGCTCTGTCCATCTTTGATGCTCCGGCCGAGGACAGACCGTGGAGAAGCCCGTAGGGCGTGGGGAGATCTGCCGGAAGGCTGGGGGGTGCTGGCCCTGCCGGCCAACGGCGCCCGCGGGGGCTGCGGCATCGAGGCGCCTGCTGGGCACGCCGCCGTCCTGGGCAGCCCCAGTCCCTGCCCGCGGCCGCGCTGCGGTCCAGGGCCCCGCGCTGACGGTCTGCCGTGCGCCCGCAGGCTACCTCATCCACGAGTCCGCCTGCTGGAGCGACACGCTGCAGCGCTGGTTCTTCCTGCCGCGCCGGGCCAGCCACGAGCGCTACAACGAGAAGGACGACGAGCGCAAGGGCACCAACCTGCTCCTGAGCGCCAGCCCGGACTTCAGGGACGTCTCCGTCAGCCGCGTCGGGGAGCTCGTCCCCACGCACGGCTTCTCCTCCTTCAAGTTCATCCCCAACACGGACGACCAGGTCATCGTGGCCCTCAAGTCCGAGGAGGACAGCGGCAAGATCGCCAGCTACATCATGGCCTTCACGCTGGACGGGCGCATCCTCCTGCCGGAGACCACGGTTGGCAGTGTGAAGTTCGAAGGGGTAGAATTCATCTGAATTTAAAAACTTAACACATCAGGCAAGGCCGAGGACGACGGTTGAAGCTGCCGTACATCAGGACTCAGGTTTTATCGAAGCAGAGGACTGCCCTTTCCTGGCGTTTTTGCTCTCTTTCTGTCCGGAACTCCGAGGTGTGTGTCGGCTTAGAGGCCTTCCTGGCAGGGAGTGTGCGCAGCGCGGGGGGCCTTCCCAGAGCCAGCGGCGCGGTGGCTGCACAGCCCTCTGCACTGCCACCTGGTGGCAGAGGCTGGTCATTGCGGCACCGCAGCCTCGGGCCCCGCCTCTGGTGCCCTCCCTCCGGCCTGACCTCCCTTTCTTTTCTTGCCATTGTTCTCTTGTTCAATAAATAGTCTTTAAGCTTCTACCATGTGTCAAGCACTGTGCCCCCTGGGAACACTGCGGTGACTGTGAGTGCACCTGTCCCTCTGGGACTCCAGGCCCTCCTCTTCCTCCTCCCCCCGAACCTTGGGCACCGAAGCCACCCCTCCAGCCTGGAGAAGACCTGTTGACACTGTGGGATGTTCCAGGGCTGAGCACACAGGCAGGCCTCCGGGAGCGCGTCCCCCCAGAATCTTGCAGGAAGGGTCACTAGCCCACCCATTTGTCCCTAAACCTCACATTAAACTGGCTTGATTTCATGCAGCTGGTTCCATTTTCTCCCTCCGGGAAAATTCTCTGGCTCCACAGCTCTTTGAAGTTTCAGTTATTAACTTATTTTCGTTAAAGCAACTTCCTTTCTCATAGAAGGGAGCCACCAAGTCTTACCGCACAGTGCAAGGGCCTGCCGTTAGCACGCCAGCTCCTCGCGTTGGAGGACGCGTGATGCGCAGCTGCGTCGGCAAGGCCGGTGCCTCAGCACCCGTGAGCTGTGAGCCAGGGTGCGCAACCTGAAGGAACTGCTGTCTCCTGGCAACAGAAACTGTCACGCCTTGAAAGACTTGTACCATGACTCAAATTCTCTTTCCTGCCCTGAGTGAGACCCTGGTTCCTAGCCCAGCGACTGGGGACAAGGCCTGCCAGGTTCTGCACTTTCTGTCCCCACCCTTTGTTTTTCCCCTTCCTGCCTGGAGTTTTGCAGCCTCTGCTCCCAGGAAACCGCCCCCCACACACATACCCCCAGTGTGGCTTGGTCCCCGCAGTCGCTCCTCGGTGCCCTGGGGTAAGGGCAGGGGGGTGGGGGCCAAGGTCGGCCAGGACCCAAGCTGAGGAGGGCCCCTCGCCCCTGGAAGCTGCCTCGCCCCCAGGGTGGCGCAGGGCGCCGTGGCGGCTCTGGCCACGCATGTGGGCACCTCGCAGATGCTTCCACCCTGGACCTGGAACGCAGCTGCCAGGAGGGAGCTGGGATGGGCCCTGTCCCCTGCACGGCGGGTTGTCTGTTCCTCTTTCTGAAAGCAGACAGTGAGAGAGCAGAAAACACGCTATCGACGGCACGCATTTCAAACGCGGGCCCCACTGGACGCATCTCCCTGACAGTGCCGGGCAGGCGCCCTGACCCACCTCCTCTGGAAATGGCCAGGGCGTTGCCAGCGCTGTGCACGTTAAAAACGCCGAGACGCGATTAGGAGTCGGGGGCCTTGGGACAGTCACTGAATGGAGACCTTTCTGAGGCACTGGTGTTGGTTCCTCGGCCACGGCCAGGGTGCCCCCGCCTTTGCCACTGTGACTGAGATGACTGAGCTCCTCGCTGGAACCATTGTTCCATGAACAATAAAGGGCCAGGGGCTGTGAGTTCCCTCTGTCTCCTGGTCTGTGTTGCCCCCCTCCCCGCGCTGGGCTCTGGGCGTAGGAGAGACCCCTCATGCAGGGCGGCTCTGCCCTTCTGTCGGGGCAGGGGTTGGGGCTGCGAGCGGTGGAGTTCATGGGCGGCCACCTCCACAGACCGGGGAGCCCTCCTGGAAACCAAGTCGCCGAGTCCAGCTCTTCCTGGAGGTGCTCTTTGGGCCGCTGTGGTTGAGAGTGGGGGCTCTGACGCCACTCCCAGGTCCCTGACCCGGCTCAGGCCCTTTCCAGCTGCGTGACCTCGGCCAGATGATCTGACTTCTCCACCCTGATTCCCTCCTCCGGGAAGGGAGCCGGCGGCCGCGCCACGGGCAGAGCCACAGAGAACGCGGCGCGCACCCACACGCCGAGGGTGCTGGGGAGCCGCCCCGCGTCCCTGGGGAAGCCGGGGCTATGGGAGCGGACAGGCGTGGTCCTCCGAGCCTGCAGGACCCCTAAGCTCAGAGGACGCGCAGTCCTAGGAGGTCCCAATGTGGAGCCACAGGGACCCCGCTGGGAGGGACCACTGCTGCAGGGGCCTGAGCGGGAGGGGAAACGGGCATCAGGATGCGGAGACCAGGCGAGAGCAGCGTCACGGAGGCCAGCGTCCCCGTCCTCCTCGGGTCCTGCAGACCGACTCCTCTGTCCCTGCCCCGCCTGTGTCGCCAGAGGCTGGCCTGCGTGAGCCTCTGGGAGGCAGGAGGGCGCAGGTGAGCCAGGAGCCCGACCTCCGCGCCCTGCAGTGGCGGCGCCCTGCGCTCGCCCCCGGCCCTGGCCCCTTCTGCCTGGGAGTCGTAGCTGCGGGCCCAGCACTTTGTAAGTAGCCGCTTGCTTTTTTCCAAATTGTAAGAGAAAGTGTACTCAGAAAGTCACAGAGGAAGTGGAAGTGAGCCAGGTGGGCTGCGTGGGCTCAGGAAACAGGTTCCAGGAGCAGAAGTGGGGCCCTGGGAGCTCAGGAGCGGGGAAGGCCACGGTACCGCCCCTGGGGCGGGGGAGGGACAAGGGAGGGGAAGGCGCCAGAGTCCCCCAGAGGGGAAGCTGCCCACAGCCCCTCTCCTGAAGCCCCCCGAGGTGACCGAGCTTAGGGCCAGCTGTTCCCTGCTGGGAGCCTGACCAGAACAACCGGGGAGGGGACTGGCGACATCCAGCGCTTCACGGAGGTCAAGCAAGAAGGCCTGGACAGTGTCCCTGCGCTGAGTAGGAGGACATGGCGTTCTCGCGGCCCCGGGGGGAGGGCCGCCCTCGCAGTCCCCAGGAGCGGGCGCTGAGCCCTGGCACGGGCCCGCCCAGGCAGCGACTCGCCCCGCCTGGCGCTGGGCCACAGCCGGCGCGCGGAGGGCACCCAGAGGCCGGCTTCTTCCCAGGCGCTCGTCTCATCTTCTCGCACATTTGAGGTTGGTAAATTTGAAGGGAAAGTATGCCTTAATAAGCCTGTTAAGAGATTTAAGTAAATCAAAAGTAAAATGCCTCACAAGAAGGAGATCCCAAGCCCAATGGCCTTACTGGTGAAGTGTGCCCAGCCTGTAAGGACGAAGCGATCCCAAGACAACACAAAACGGGTCCTGATTCAGGGAACTGGGAGCACTTCCCAGCTCTGCGCCGGAGGACACCACTGCCCCGTGCCAAACGCAGGCAGGTGCATCACCAGCAAGGGGCGGCACAGCTCCGCGTCCCTCGGGAACACAGGCGCCAAAGTCCTCGGCGCACGTTTGGCTGGCTGGATCCAGCAGCACTTAAACATGAACGTGCCTTACGACACGGTGTGGTTTATTCCCGAGCACGAGGTCTGTCTGGGAAAAGTCCAGCCATTGTTACCGTAACGAGAACAGTTTGCTCGGCATCGGTGGAACCTGGCAGCCAGGGGGAGGGGACTGGAACGGCATGCGTGGACAATGGTGACCTCACTGTGCGCGCCGGGGGTCGGTACACGCCGTTGAGTGAACACGTGCACTGTGCAGCTGTCACATTCAAAATGACTGAGCGAGTAGAACAATGAATCTGCCTCAGATTTTGTGTTATGTTCGAACGTTCCTCCATGGAAACTACTCGGATGACTCAGAAGCCGCAGCTCTGGGCGACTGGCGATTGGCAGCCTCATCATCACAACGCGCCTGCTCATGCATCATGTCTCCTGGAGAGGGTTTTGGCAAAACACCAAGTCACCCAGCTGACTCAGCCCCCCTACAGCCCAGATGTGGTGCCCTGCCACTTCCGGCTTTTTCCAAAACTAAAATCACCTTCGAAAGGAAAGAGATTTCAGACCATCGATGAGATTCAGGAAAATACGATGGGGCAGCTGATGGCGATTGGGAGAGCTGGGTGAGGTCCCAAGGTGCCTCTTTTGGGGGACTGAGGTGTCATTGTCCTACGTACAATGTTTCCTGTATCTTGTCTCTTCTTCAATAAATGGCTCTATTTTTCATATTACATGGCTGGATACTTCTGGACAGACCCGATACAATGTTGGTTTCATGTCCTAAAACCAATGTAATCAGTATATTTACAGGCTAAAAAGGAAAAACCATATGATAACCTCAAAAGATATAGAAAAAGCATTTGACAAAATCTAACACACATTCATGATTGAGAAACAACAGCAACAACCTTACCAAAGTAGGAATAAAAGAAACTTGGGCCCCAGCTGGTGTGGCTCAGTGGAGTGAGCGCCGGCCTGCGAACCAAAGAGTTTGCCAGTTTGACTCCCAGTCAGGGCACAGGCCTGGGTTGCAGGCCAGGTCCCCAGTGGAGGGCATGTGAGAGGCAACCACACATGGATGTTTCTCTTCCTCTTTCTCCCTCCTTTCCCCTCTGTCTAAAAATAAAGAAAATCTTTTTTTAAAAAAAAGGAACTTGGGCCTGATGAAGGGGTCTCTGGAAAGCCTGCAGCTTCCAAAGCCGGGGCCGAGGCGCGGGTGTCTGCTCTCACTTCTTTCTCCACCACTTGAGTTTGTATTCTGAAGTCACTGTAAACCACAGAGGAGTCATAGAACTAGCATAGGATTGTCTTTGCCACCCATTCACCGGCTGTCCTGCTGGGGGTCCCAGGCAGGGCCACTGGGCAAGAAAAAGGAAAGTCCCTCAGATTACAAAAAGAAAGAGTCCAGCTGTCTTCGTTTGCCAGTGACAGGGTTGACTAAGTAGAAAAGCCTAAGAAAGCCTCGAACAATAGCCACGGGAACTCAGCCGGGTTTGGCCAAGCTGCGGGGTGCTCAGCCCACCCCCAGGGGGTAACTGTTTCTGTATAGCTGCAGGGGGCCATTGGGAATGGAAAAGTTTTAAAACGATGTCATTCACAATAGCACCAAAAAACACGAAATAGATATGAACCTAACAGAGTACGTACGAGATCTATACACCAAAACTACGAAACACTGAGGAAAGGAAGAAAAAAAGGTCCAAATAAACGGAACACGAGAAACCATCTTCATGGACAGGAAGACTCTGTTTTGAGGAAGAGCAGCAATGCTGAAGGACTTACTCTGTCCCCTTCTAGGCCTAGCATCAGGCCTGAGAATAGACGGGTAAATCGGAGCAGCGAGGGCCCGGAGACAGACCCGCGTGCACAGCGGTGCCCGGGCAGCTCGGTGGGGAAAGACTGTCCCTCTGTGAGGCTGGAGGCAGCGCTATTCTGTGTGAAAGTAAATGGTCGACACTCCTATTCCCCCACCGCACACTAAGGTGACAGAGTGGCTCGTAGGCCTACAGGTAAGAGCTAAAACTACAAAATCAGAAGGACACAAAGGCGCGGTGACCTTGGGTCAGGCGCTGCGTTCCCACACGCCGGGGGTCGGGGACCGAGGCCTGTGAGGACTTCGGCTAAGCCAGCAGAAGGGCCCCGCCTCCGAAAGCCCCCAGCGCTCCACCCGCGGCTCAGGGGCTTCCGGCGCTGACTTCCTGCAGTGGCTTCCTGCTGCGGCGGCGGCGCCCACACGGTCACAGCCGGGCCCCGTGCCGGTGTCCAGGACCGCCACGGCGTCCGTGCCGCAACTGAGGCACTCTGGGAGCGGCCTGTCGAGCTCTGCTCCCCAGTCCCTCTGTGGGCATCAGAGGCGGAAAAGCGCTGGGTCCCTGGGGAGCAGACACCCCTTGGCCTTGACAGCAGGAAGGGTTTTCCCAGGATGCAGGGGCTGAAGACTCAGCAACTTAAGTTTTTAAGCATTTCCACCAGCACCTCCCAAAGGCCTTCCTCTGCATTTCTGTCCTTGACCAGCCACGCATTCCAGCAAGAATCCGTGGGGACACTGAGGCGTGACAGTGTCCGGCGGATCGTAAACCTTGCCGCAGCCTCCTTTTCCAGTTCTGTTCCCAGTCTCTTCTCCCCTCGATCTTGGCAGTTTCTTAGGAGGGGACCATGTGACCTGCGTGAGGTCCTCTGAAACCGCACAGCATGGGCCCAGGGTCATCGAATATTTGGCTTTGGGACTGGTCCCTTGAACCGTAGGTTGCCAGGGAAACGCTGTCTCGCCCCCGGCTACATGTTGGAATGACCTGGAAGGGTTTAAAGGGCCGTGCCGTCCCCACCCTGAAGATTGTGGCTTCGTGGTCTGGGCACTGGGCATCCACGAAACTCCCAGGTGACCCTCATGTACAGACCAGGTTGGGAGCCACTGGGTTTGTGGCCTGGGGACACCCCGAACCACAGGGTACAAGTGACAGAAGCAAAAGAGGGTGCCGACCGCTCATCTAACCTGGAGCCCAGGCCCTGCCTGCGACCGCAGGCCAGCGGCACCGGGGGGCTCGGGGCCTGGTGCCCCGTCCTCAGCCCCGCCCTCACCTGCACCCTCACTGGGGGGCTCTCCGCGGGGGTGGGGCACGGGCCAGGGCGCCAGGGACCTCAGCAGCCCCAGGCCACCTGCTCCGCGTGTCTGCAGCTGGCTCTCGCCCGTGGGCCGGGACCGCAGCCCCTCCCTGACACCATCCGTGCAGCCACGGGGCCGCAGCACTCCAACCCGCCAGGCTGGGGTCTGGCGGGGGTCCGGCTGGGGCCCTGGGGCCTCACAGCCTGGGAGGGAGAGGGGGACGCTCCCCAAGGGGCGACCGAGGTGCTGGCTTTCTGCTGGAGGGAAGGGAATGGCGGAAGGGGGCAGAACTGCTGTGTCCCTGGAGGTCTGTCCCCAGCCCCACCGGGGCTGAGACGCGGGGAAAACGGCCACTGTCAGCGGCCGGGGGTGCACGCCGCCGGGTACGAGCGCCGTTGGGCGTGCCGCCTCCCCACACCCGGACCGCACTGTGCAGCGCCACCGGCTGCAGCCCCTCTGCGACCCCGGGCGGCGTGCCAGGAGCTTGGAGCAGGGGAGGCTCGGCCGCAAGTGGCTGCCCCCGTGGGGTCCAGCCTGCTGGCCGCGCGCGAGACCCGGGAGAAGGCTCAGCCTGCCCAGCAGCAGCCCAGGAGCTCAGCCCGCTCCGCTCTGCCCCCTGCCGCTCCGCCTCCCCTGCCTGGGCTGGCCCGGCTGCCGACCCTTTAGATTCCAGGGCGGCTGTCAGCCCCCTTGCTCTGGGAGCGAGTCAGCCAGGCTGCCTCCTTGGGCAGCTGCCACCACCAGCATCCGCCTTCCCAGCAGAGCGGAGAGAGCTGCCCTGGGGCCTGGTGGGCGGCCAACCCCAGGAGAAACCTAGGTCACGTGGTTCCTGGTAATCGAAACTAGACCCTGGTTCCTGAAGCGCTCCCAGACCCGGCGGCCCATGCTCCTCGGGGTGTGTCCTGGGCTGAAGGGCAGCCTGCAGACATAGACACCCTCTGCAGCAGGAAGTGGACCCCGTGACCTGCCATCATTGCCCCCGCAGGTGAGCCGCCCCTCCCTACACGGTGTCACCCAGTGGGGCTGAGCCTTCCTGTTCGCACGCAGCTGGGGACCGGGCACCCCTCCCAAGCCCAGGGCTCAGCACCGCTGCCCCCAGGTCTGAGGGCTGCCGGGCGTGTCGTTCGCTGCCAGCGCCCCAGCGGTCCTGCCCCAGCCCGGCTCTCTGACTGGCGCAGGCCACACACCCCCAAAGAGCCCACCCCTTGTCCGGGCCTTTGGGCTGGGGGCAGGCCTCCCTGTTGCGGCCCCGCTTTCCGGGGGCTGCCCCACGGCTGCAGCGGTCGCACACTGCGTGCCAGGTGCCTAATGGGCCGTTTGTCCACAGCCCCATGCACCTGTCCCAGGTGCATCGCCCTGGTCGCTGCAGTTCCCCGGGAGTGCAGGGGGCTCGGACAGGCTGAGATTGCCCGGGGCCGAGAGCAAGTCCCAGCCGGGACAGGCCCCAGCCCGCCAGGCAGCCGTGTGAGGCAGGACCCGTGGCCTCCGGGCTTCAGCTCATCCGCTGGGAAGGGGGCCCTCCCCAGGCAGCTCTCAACGGCCATGGGGAAGACGCACTGAGCGGTCCCAGGACGGGGACCGCAGCCCCACACCCGTGACCCCGCGTCGTGTGCCAGGGGGCCGCCCGCGGGAGCGGCCTCATCCCCCGCTGGCCCAGCCGGCCTCCGAGATTGCGGGGTCTTACTGACCCAGGGGATGCCTGGCTCCTCCTTCGTGCGCGGGGATGTGGGGAGGGGGCCGGGGCACGGCCGGATGCAGCCGAGAGGGGGCGCTGCGCCCCGCCCTCGCCCAGGCTGGCTGACGGCCTCTTGGCCTCTGCTTCTCGGGGACTCTGACCTCAGGAGTGTCAGCGACAGGCCCACACCCAGCACGTCCCCCGAGTCCGCTTCCCGCCCTAGTCACAGGCCGGCGCAGCCTGGCCCTGACCCCTCCCCCAGCCACCCCGCCAGCCCCTCAGCCCCCTATCACACGGACCCCCTGGCCGGTGTCCGGGGCCTCCTCCCCGCTCTCGCTCCCCTCCCTTCCAGGCCCCCCACCAGCACTCAGCGAGTGTTCTCTATCAGCACAGAGCCACAGGTGCTCCTGCAGGGCAGGCCCCTGGCGATAAAGCCCGTCCTTAGCCTGGGCTGGCGGGACCCTGCACACACCCTGCCCCTGCCGTCAACCGTCAGCCGCGCCCAGGGCCTGGTCCTCTGAGACAGGCTCCAGTGTCCTCTGTCCCTGCCGCCTGGAGAACCCCTGGCCCACCCCCTTCACCTGGGCGCTTCTCACTCTCCCTCCCCTGCAGGAGCTGGGCCCACCACCCGCCGCCCGCCACCCTCCGCCCTCCGCCCTTCGTGCCCCGCAGCAGAGAGGGCACTAGAAGAGCCTGGGCCCCTCCTGAGGGCCATCCAGCTCCGCAGGCTCCCTCGGCCACCGCCTCCTGCTGCGACCTGAGGGCCCCCAGGCCAGGCCATGGCCCTCCCTCGGCTCCTCTGCATGTGGCTGCTGGTCGCCGGGACTCGAGGTGAGCTGAGCCCCGAGCGGTCTTAGGGCCCCCCCTGGCAGAAGGCCTAGGCAACGCTCTGCCCGGCGCTGGGCGCTGGGCGCTGGGGTCAGCTCAGGCTCCTCCTGCTTGACGTCCCAGTTGTCCCGAGTCGTGTGGCTTTACCTTCCGGGGGATACCAAGGACTTCTCCATCCCATCGGCTCCCAGAGGGATCGGGCAGGAGGGCTGCCCGACCAGCCAAGCCCCGGCAGCCTGGCGGCTGGCGCCCCGCGCCCATGGACTCCCGGGGCCCTGGGCGCCTGTCCCCTGCTCTCTGCCCCTGAGGCCCGGGACCCTTCCTCATCCCGGCAGCCGCAGGGAAGCCCGCGGTGCCCCAGCGGAGAATCGCCCCCCGACCCTGCTGGCTCCAGTAGGGGCCGGGCAGGGGAGCAGCAGGCTGCGTCCTGGGAGCCCGGGGTGAGTCTGGGACTCACTCTCTCTGCGCCTGGCGTACCCTGCCTGTGTCTCTGGGGTCCCAGAACCTGTGCCCTCGGACAGCCCTTGCCTGGCGCGCGGCTGCCCCCCGGGCTAACCGGCGTGTTCCTCGGGAGCCCTGCAGGCGTGGAAGACGGTGACGTGCGGCTGGCCGATGGGGGCACCGCCAACCAGGGCCGCGTGGAGGTCTTCTACCAAGGCCAGTGGGGGACTGTGTGTGACAACCTGTGGAACCTGCTGGACGCCACTGTCGTCTGCCGAGCCCTGGGATTCGAGAATGCCACTGAGGCCCTGGGCAGAGCCACCTTTGGGCAAGGTAGGCCCGCCGGCCCCCATTCCTCCCGAGCAGCCAGTCGCAGGAAGGGACCGTCCCCCGGGCCGTGAGAACGCTCCCCACGCCCTCCGCACTGGCAGACACCCTGCACAGCGTGCAGTGCACACCGCCGGCAGCTGGGGTGGGCTCCTGGGCACGGCGGCCCCTCCCCACAGCGGAAGCCCCACCTCTGGGCCTGTGTTTTCCCGGAGCCACTCACCCTCAGAAGGGAGGTCCGGGGGCAGGAAGGCTTCCCCCGCACGGTTGCCGTGAGTCGCAAAAAAAGGGGAATAATAGAGATTTCCAGTCACTTATTGTCCACAAGGCAGACAGACGTCACGAGAAGGAAGGGTAGTTTATGGCACAACGTCATCATAAGAAATCCGGACCCACCCTCGAGCTGTCACGGAGGTTTCCTAGTCAAAGACACGCAGGAGCTGGGCTACAGCAGAGCGCTCGAAGGCCTCGGGGTCCTCGGGGGCCTGAGCCTGCATGGTTGCTGTGGCTGCACCCGCTTCTCGGGGCAGCGGGCGTGGCCTCGGCGCCGCCCTCCAGCGCCTGTCCTTGCTGTCCCACCAGGAACCGGCCCCATCATGCTGGACGAAGTGCAGTGCACGGGAACAGAGCCCTCGCTGGCCAACTGCTCCTCCCTGGGCTGGCTGATGAGCAGGTGCGGGCACAACCAGGACGCCGGCGTCATCTGCAGCAACGGTGCGCAGGGCTCGCCCCACCCCGGCCCCCACACTGCGGGGGCCCCTGGAGCCGCCCCCACACCCCAGGCCCTGGGAGGGTGTCCGCCGCGCCCCGCCCCTCCAGGCCCATCCCACGCCTGGGCACAGGTGCCCCAGCGGCACCCACTCTGCAGAGGAGGGCGGAAAGCCTGCAGGACCCAGCCGCACAGCCACCAGCCCCAAGGCCCTCCCCGCCCTTCCCAGGGCCTGCCCAGAAATGCTTCGTGCGCCCCGATTGTTGGGCAGCGAGCCGCGTCCCCAATGCCACAATGTCCGCGGATTCAGGCTTCTCTCTTAAACTGCCGTCTGAAGCCTGCTACGCAGCGCCTTGCCTGCCGACAGCACCCTGAACGTGCTGGGGGCGTTTCTTGATGGCAGACAGGCCTGGTGACAGCCCAGCCCCCACCGCCCCGGCTCCCTCAGACCCCAGGGGCCCCGGCCACTCGGACACTCGGCTTTCGGCCCCAAGTCTGAGTGTTAAGGTTGTGCTTTGCTCTCTCACGCCCACCTGTGGCTTCTTCCAGGACTTGCCCAAGGGGCCTGGGAGGCACGTGCGCCCCGAAGGTGGGGGCGGGGGGCCGCCAAGGGAAATCAGGGCGCCCAGGTCCAGTGCAGTGGAGGCTCACGCTGCCGGGGGGAGCAGCACAGAGGGGCACTCGGGCCAGGGCGGGGTGCAGGGCCGGAAGCACCTATGGCAGGACCTGGCGGCCAGCGGAGGCGCCTGGGAGTCGGGTGTCATGGGAAGGAAGGGGGTCTGAACCCACCTGGTTTAAATGTCAGGACTGATCTTAACCTATTTGTGGCAGAGAAAGGACAGGTAGGTGTGGTTCCCAGTGAGGCTTGGGAGTGGGCAGAGGGGGCAACGCAGCGCCCTCGGCCCCGCGAATGAGGCTGCTGAGGACCCCAAAGTTCCAGCCTTGGGTTGCCCCTCAGTCTTCAGATCGTCAGGCCAGGGAAGGTTCTGGCCTCCGAAGGTGACACCTGGGTGATCGACTGACTGCCCGGGTTTTAAACGGTGGGGCCTCAGCCTCTGCAAGTCAGCCCCGCCAAGCCCCGCCCCCCCCCCCCAGGGGCTGCCTGGGCGCAGGGAGCAGAGGAGTTACCCCGGAGTGTCTGACGGCCGTGGGCTGGGGGGCTCTGGGCCCCGCTGGGCACAGGTGCCCTGTCCTCCGGGGGCCTTTGTGAGTAGATCAGGCAGGTCAGGCCACGAGGTCAGGGAAGAAACGGACTCCAGGGAGGAACAGCACTTCCGGGTCACAGAGCAGAGCCTCGCCCGGAATGGGCGTGAGCGTGCTGGTCTCCCCTGCCCCTTCTTAGAAACCAGAGGCATCTACACCTTCGACATGTCCGGCCAGCTCCCCGCAGCCCTCGAGCAGATCTTTGACAGCCAGGAGGGCTGCGACCTGTCCATCATAGTGAAGGTCCAGGACGCCGAGCGCCAGCGCCTGTGCGCCCACCGGCTGATCCTGGCCAGCAACCCCGAGGCCCAGGCCCTGGGGAAGGCGCCGGGCAGCGTGGCCACCATGGAGGTGGACGCCGAGTGCCTGCCCATGGTCAGAGGCTTCGTCAGGTGAGCGCCCTCGGCGGGGGCTCGGCGCCAGACGGGGTCCCCAGGGATCGCCTTCCCCCCGCCGGCTCGGGCGGGTCCACTCTGCTCCCGTGCACAGGGGATGCGCTCTGGAAGCGCGGCCGTGGAAAAGTGCACATGTTAAAACCTGCTCCCTGTCCTTCTTGGGACGTACCCTGCTCTCCATGGCCGAAAGGGACCCCGCAGAGAACAGGTGGCAACTGAAACAAATTACAGTGGTTCTTTTCTTTCTTTCTTTTTTAAGATTTTATTTTATTTTTTTTTTGTCGCTTTTTTTTTTAATGGCTCGGATACATTTGTCTCCATTTTCCCACCACCACTGCCCCCCGCCCCACCCGCCCCGCCTCCCACCCTCAGGCCTCCCCCACTTTGGCCTTGTCCATGGGTCCTTCATGCAAGTTCCTTGACGAGACCCTTCCCCTTCCTTCCCCGTTACCCATCACCCCCCTCCCTCCTCCGTTCTCCTTACAGTCGGTTTCTTTTTTCTTTCACTGTTGCTGGTTATATATTTTTCTTGCATGTATGTTTTGTTGATAAGCTTCCACTTACAAGTGAGACCATACGGTCTTTGTCTTTTCCAGCCAAGTCTAAGAACCGGGTCCCTAGGGTGTGCTTCCGGATGGGATTTTTTCCTCGGGTGTGTCTGAGAATGAGGCAGGGCCTGCCTGCCTTCCAGTCCCCTTGGGCAAAGCTCAGGGGGATGCATGCTCTCCCTCGCTCCCCTCTCTCTTCCTCACTTTCTCCCTCCCCCTCCGCCTCTTCCCCGAGCTCTGTCCTGGCCTCTTGTTCCGGGCCAGGCCCCAGGAGGCCTCAGGATACCCTCCCCGTCGGGGCCCGCCCACGGGCACCCCCCTGCGGCACCCCAGCAGGCAGCATTGCCGGCGGGCCTCGGCCAGTTGTCCGGCTCCTCGCCACTTTCTGTGGTTTCTCGGGGTCTCTAACACCGCCATCACAGCCTTCGGTCCTTTTTCTCTGCCCTTCCGTGTTTTCAGGGTCAAGGGGCCATTGAGACCTCTGCTCCCACCACCTGGGTGCCTGCCGGAGCCCCGGGGAGGGGGCACGCTGGGGCGGCCGCGCAGCTGCCAGCGGCCAGGAACTATCTCTCGGGCCCGACAACAGAATTAAGAGGCAGAGACAGAAACATTCTGTGGTGTCCCCCATCGCTCCGGCAGTCGCCGTTTGCGGGGCCTGCAGTGGGGCTTACTGCTAGTGAGGGTGGCGGTCAGGGCCCAGGAGGCTGGGCCCCAGCATGCTGCCCTGGAACTGTCCTGGGAGGAGCCTCCAGCGCTGCAGGCCGTGATCAGGGGCCACCGCGAGCCGGGCCACAGGCGGAGGGCAGGGAAGGCAGGCACAGCAGGGCCCACGCGGTGTGAGAAGGGAACAGTGAAGGCACGGGGTGGGGGTGGGGAGCCTGCCTCGGGCGTTGGCACTGGGCCCCGCCCGCGAGTGGCCGGCTCCTTGGCTCTGTTCTCAGGTGGGCACAGCGGGGGTTCCCTAGGAGGCTTGGCATCTGAGAGAGGCCACTGGCTCCGAGTCCCTGTGGCCGTGCGGAGACTCGGCCCTTCCTGACAGCTGGCCTCCATTCACCGCGTCCCGGGAGGCGGTGGCCAGCCTGGCCTGTCCCCTCCAGGCAGGCGCCCCAACTCAGGCACCGAAGCGGTTCCCGGCGGCACCCTGCCCTCCCTGGGGAACGGCGCCCGCTGAGTCGCCTGCGTCGGCTCAGAGCTGCGGGGCGCGCTGGCAGGAGGCAGCAGGGGCGGGTGCTGTGGTTGGAGGGGTGCCCACGGGTACCCAGCACAGGGCCGCCGGAGTCTGTCCAGGGGTGCGGTGGCAGGAAGGGTGGACAGGTAACCCCAGTGCCCTGATGGCCAGCAGGTCCTGGTGCCCCCGGCCCCTCAGAGGGCGGGCTCAGACGGCCAGCGAGCACAGCGGCCGCAGTGGCAACGGTGGCGCAGGGGTGGCCACAGGACGGGGAGGGCCCCTCTCCTTGCCGACAGATGGTGCTTCGTCCTCCAGCGCCCTGGGATCCGCCCCTTTGTGGGTGCCCATGGCTCTGAGCAAACTCAAGATGGGAACGCGGGTGGACCCAAGAGACAAACGGGGGAAGGAGGAGGGGGCCAGGGGCCTCTTGAAAATGCCAACACCCCAGGCGTCCGCAGGTCATCAGAAAACTCAGCCGAGGGGGTCGTGCCGGGAGCTGGGCCCGCTGCCCTGGCCCACCTGCTGTGCTGCACGGGCGGGGGCGGGGGGCCCGGGGGGCGGGCCCGGGGAGGCCGCGGGGGTGGGAGGGGGGTGGAACCAGGCCCTCAGCTCGCCCCCGCCCCCGCCCCCGCAGGTACTTCTATTCCCGAAGGGTGGACCTCTCCCTGTCGACGGTGAAGTGCTTCCACAAGCTGGCCTCCGCCTTCGGGGCGCAGCAGCTGCAGCGCTACTGCGCAAGCCTCTTCGCCGTCCTCCTCCCGCAGGACCTCTCCTTCCAGGCGACCCTGGACCTCTACGACTACGCGCTGGCCACCCGCGACGCCACACTGGAGGACCTCTGCGAGCAGTTTCTGGCCTGGAACTTCGAGGCCCTGACCGGGGCTGAGGCCTGGCTGCACGTCCCCACGGCCCTGCTCCGCGCCCTGCTCTCCAGGAGCGAGCTGGCCGTGCCCAGCGAGACAGCCCTGCTGATGGCCGTGGACACCTGGAGCCAGGCGAGGGAAGCCAGCCACGCGGATGTGGAAGGCCTCCTGGAGAGGGTCCGCTTCCCCATGATGCTGCCTGAGGACCTCTTCCAGCTGCAGTTCAACCTGACGTTGTACCGGGGCCACCGGGCGCTCTTCCAGCGGAGGGTCCTGGAGGCCCTGGAGTTCCACACAGTGCCCCTCCGGCTGCTGGCTCAGGACAGAGGCCTGAACCTCAGCAAGGACGCCTACCAGCCCCGGCTTTACACCTCGCCCACCTGGAGCTCGCCGGTGGGGAAAGGCTCCCAAGACCCCTACAACTATTATTACTATGGCCATTACCGCTATACCTCCTACCAGTCCTTCCGGACCCCAGTGCACCCCAGCTTCCTCTTCCAGGCCCGTGAAGTCACCTGGTCCCCCTACGACCTGCCCACCGTCCAGCGCTGCTGGGACTACGGGTTCTCGTGCTCCTCTGACGAGGTCCCAGCCCTCGGCCTTTCCAGGTCTGGCTACTCGGATCCCACCATCGGCTACGGAAACAAAGCCCTGATGCTCTGCGGGGGGCGCTTCGTGGCCGACGTCACCGACTTCGAGGACAGGAAGGCCACGATCCCCAGCACCCTGGATACCCACAGCTCCAAGAGAGCATCCGTCTTCCCCTGCCCGGAAGGGCCCTTCAGCAGCTTCCGAGTGGTCATCCGCCCCTTCTACCTGACCAACTCCTCGGGCGTGGACTAGCCGGGAGGCTGCCCCACCCCTGCAGAGGGCAGGCAGGCAGAAGGGCCGGGCCCCGCCCCTCGAGCCTGGCCAAGCTCCCTCCTCTCTGCAGTGCCTCCCACAACCGGCCTCCAGGGGTCCCCCTGCCTCCGCAGACCTCCCCGAGCTTAAAGGAATGGCTGGAGGGCAGGCCGGAACGGCTGCCCCCTGCCCACGGGAAGCTGGGAAGCTGCGAGTCAGCAGGGTCGTGGACTGTGGACTTCCCGCCCTGCCTTTGGCTTGCTCCATCCTCTGTTGTCCCTTTCTAAAATGAATCATTAAAACCGCGTTGCAGTCCCCGGTTCGCTCGTTCATTCAGGAAGGGCTATCGAGTCCACTCTGCACGCAGACGCCAGTGGGCTGGGTACCAGGGCCCCGGGAACGAGCAGACACAGCCCCCGTCCTCACACAGAGGGCAGGCGAGAGGTCGCAAGGACACACGCCCTGGGGATTCACAAGCGGGGCGATGGTGACGGGGAGCGGGCGTGGGGGTGCCCAGGCCAGCGCTGCTTCACACTGGACTCTGTGCAGAGACGTGGCTAGGGGAGGAGCAGGCGTCGGGACACGGGAGGAGGGCGAGCTCCAGGCAGGAGGAACAGCAGGCGTGAGGAACCTGTCCTCCGTGACTGTTGCCCATGCGCACAGAGACGCGGGACAAGGATTGGCACGTCAGCGTTCCTTGTAAGGGTGAAAACTTGGAAACGACTTAGATACCCAGCAATGAGGTACTTGGCCACAAGTGAGAAGCCTGCAATGGGGCAAGTCAGGGGAAGGAGGGCATGCGAGAGGGCACTGCGCGACCCGCAGACGCGAGGCAAACAGAGGCAGGGCCACCCGCCCAGGGGTCCCGTGGGGACATCCCGCTGGAGCAACACCACTGGGTCCCGGGCGCTGAAGGCCGCCCCACGGAGAGCAGGGGAGGCATTCTAAACTGTCCCCGCTCCTTTGTGGCACAGGCCACAGCACAGGGTCCCCGCCGAGGCATCTGGTTGGCCCGGCTCACACCACGTGCTTGCCGCTCTCGGCCAGGGGCTCAGCAAACAAGCATCTGGGCGGTTTTGGCCTCGGGAAGGGGAGGTGGCACCGAGCCCACCCAATGGGAGGGAGGCTCCGACGCCAGGCCAGGCGGCTGAGACAGCAGAGCCCCCGCCCCCTTCCCCTTGGGCATTCAGAAACAAAAGTAGAGACACGGAGCCCCCCCGCCCCCCGCCAGTGCAGCTTTGCCCTTTCCCGGGGTCCCCAGGCCCAGCTGCACGCCCACCCTCGCAGCCGCGTCTATGGCAAATCCAGGCCACTTTTTAAGTCGTTCCATTTAGACCACACTGGTGCCCACCACCAACACCGCTGGCGAAGGGAGGCCGCAGAAAGGAAAGGTCCGTATAAACAAGCAGCAGACACAGCGAAGGCGACACCGTGGGCAGAAGATGGACTCACGGGGCCGGGAGCGGCGCCTCCCCTGCCTCACATGTGGTCCCCGGCCTACGGCCAGCACCTCAGCAGCAAAGAGGTGGGCCCAGAAAGGACGGCCCCTTCCTCCTCCACCACCTGCCCCCAGGGCGGCCGCGGCCCTGCAGGGAGCCCGTGGCCCATTTTGAGGAGACTCTTTGAGGACTCTTGAGCTCCTTCCCTGTGCCCAGCCCTTCTGGGTGGTGGCCGCTTCCCCTCGACGGTCAGGGCCGAGTGGCCCAGCACAGCCCTCGAGCCTGCTTCTCACCCCCTGGATTTTCCCGAGGGCGCGAGCAGTCCCGTGGGGCGCGGAGGCGCCCCTGGGCAGAAACGTTCCTCCGCTGGATGTCCAACCCCAAAACCAGCAGAGCCCAGAGTGTCGGGGACCAGGAGCACAGCGTTGCCCCTGGGGCCTGGTGCCACTGCCCAAGCCGCTCTGGTGTCCCAGGGCCACGGGCTGGCCAGGAGCCAGGCGAGCGCCTTGGGCGGAAGGGCAGGGCTGGGTCGGGTTTTTGTTTGGTTTGGGGGGGGGGTGGCAGTAACTGGTACCAAGATTTACTAAGGAACCTGGGAACAGGGTGTTCCAGGATTGGCTGCTGCGTGGTCAACTTGTCATCAGACCCAGGTTGCTGTAATCCTGGAGTTTGTCCCATCCTTCCTATGCATGAGCCACTATGTGTCACGAGTTCTGAACGGTGTGGGGGGAGGGAGACCACCCAGCGGGCCGGAAGTGTCGCTTCCTCCACTGAAAGGGTCCCGAGGCTGCCCCACCTTGGCCTCACAAGGCGCCAGGTTGGGACTGATGAGGATGTCGGAGCACAGCAGCCTCGGCGACAAGGCACAGGCAAGCCCTTGCAAAGCGACCCCCCACCCCTGCCACCAAGGCCACCTGGAGAGCCTGCAGAGCAAACCCTCGTGGCTGGAGGGGCGGCAGAGTGGCACCCGCAGAGCAGCCTCCTGACGCCCCCGGAGAGAGAGCTGCTGCCTCAGGAGGGCCTTTTGGGGAACAGCTGCGGGACTGTCCTCACCCCCGCGACCACTCCGAGACACCTGGCTTCGTCCCCTCCCCGGAGCTCACTGTCACTCACTCTCTGCCTGGCCCCTTCCGTCAGTGGGCCCCGGTGGGCCTGGCTGCATCGCGGGCCCCTTTGGGGGCCCCGGGGGGAGCCGTGGGAGCCCCCTTTTCTCGGCCACAGTGACTGGTTTGAAGAACCCGTGGCTGGGGTGAGGAGCGTGTGGCCTGTGTTGGCGCCTCTGTTGCGGGGGCTGGGCGGGGGACCCACAGGGACTCTCACGTTGAAGACGCTGCACCTCCTGGGCCTGAGAGGCCTCTCAATGCCTCTCCTTGCTGCTCAGACCCCACACCCAGGTTTGGCCACTAACATGCTTGTGGTTCCATGAAATGCCTGGAATTCGAGGTGACTTGGCTGTGCTCCACCCACATGGCCCCAGGAGAGGGTGGCGTCCCCGGGCCTCAGTGAGAGCTGGACAGGAAAGGTTAGATGTGGCAGCAGCTGATCTTCTGAAAAAAACGTCACCAGGGTGGGCGGGGGGAGTTCCAGGAGCCAAGCCCGGGTGGTTGCAAAACGCAGGAAAGAATGTGGAGCCGCCTGCCGCTCCCTGTCCCCGCACCCGCACCCCACTCCCCGCGCCCCAGGTGTACGCGCCCCGCGGCGGGGCAGAGGCTCCTTTGGAGGCCCTGGGGCGGGTGGGGCAGGGGCCAGAGGGCTAGGGCCCCCGCCTGCAGGCGGGGAGAGGAGCGCGTGGCGGGCAGAAGCGGAGGAGCAGCGCCGCACACCGCGGGGAAGGAGCGCGGTTGGGACCGAGCGGGGAGGACACAGCAGCTGAGGTGTTGGCCATGGGGACCCCCACAGGCTCTCAAGAGAGAAAAGGAGGGAGGTGTCCAGGAGACGGACTGGGCGAGGGCGAACGTATGGAAGAGTGGGGCTGCGAGGTCTGGGGGAGGCAGGTCGGCCCATCCAGAGGGGTGCAGGGGCCTAGGACTCGGCCCGCGCAGGGCCCAGGGTCCGGCAGGGAGAGTGCAGTCGAGTCGCGGCGACCCTGCCTGGCTTCGGATGGGAGCCGGCTCGCGCCGCACAGCCAGGAGCAAGCCCGCCCGCCCCTGCCCACCTCGGACCCCGCGCTCTGCTGGGGCTGCGGGCCGGTCCGCATCCTGTCCTGCCCGCTCGGATGCAGGGCCGCACGGCACCAGGCCTGCCGCCCGGGGGCTGGAGTGGGCTGCTGTCACCAATTGCCACAAACCAAGGGGGCTTTCAACCACCCCTCGCAGTTCTAGGGCGCAGAAGTCAGGAGTCAAGGTGACACTGCTGGGCCACCACCTGCTGAAAGGGTCCACCTGGGCACCGCGTGGTCCCTGGCTCCTTCCAGGCTCCATGGGAAAGAGGAGCTGACTTGGTAAAAAGCAAATCTGCTCTTGGAATTTTAGCAAAACGACGCCCCAGCGTTACCAATGAGAAGAGAGCCCACAACTCCCTGGGACCCTCTGAAGGGCCCCCAGCCTGGCGAACCGGAGGGCGGGTCACCCCAGTTTACGGGTGAAGAACAGCTGGAGTATCCTTAATGGTGGAAACCTTTTCCTGCTTAGAATACACACAATCCTTTTTCTGGAACATTCTTTCTCCTCCCCTTCATAAGGTTAATCCCTATGCATCCTACAGACCTCCCCGCTTCAGAGGCACCTCGGATTCTGGGGCTGTTGCTCAAAGGGGACTGAGCACCTGTATGTCTCACCGGCACCCAGCGAGGCCAGTGCTGCCGGTCCTTGGACCATGCACTGGGGACCAGGGGCTCAGAGCTCTGGAAAGGCCTGTCTTTGGTGCCCAAGACACACTCTGTGTGTCCCCTTGTAATAGTCCTTGCAGGGGGCGTGGCCGGCCCTGCTGGTGTCTCTGCCCCACCGCACTGAACCCACCTCCTCTGCTGTCTGATCCGCGAGTGCGCAACGGGCTCAGCCCTTGCATCTTGTTGAAGGAGAGAGCCCGCCCGTGCGTTCAAACCGAAGGTCAGTACAGACCTGTGCCGTCCTCGTCTGCGCGGGTCCTGTTTGGAGCCGAAATTGGAGGGAGGGGGAAGCTTTGGGACGACGGACCCGCTGAGGGACCTGCTGCTCAGGTGGCGTGAGCCTGCAGTTCTCGGAGCGCAGCCCCTGACCGGCAGCCCCCGCGGGCCCCGGGGGCTTGCGGGCGAGGCCAGTTCTTGGGGGCTCCTTGGGGAGTCAGGAGCCTGCGTTTGCAGAGCCCTCGGGGGCACTCGAGTGCAAAGCCCCAGGTCTGGGCCCGCGGCGGCCGCTGTGGTCTGTCGTTTCAGGATCCCTGGGAGCTTGCAAAGCTCCTGCGTCCTTTGCCCCCTGCGCTGTGGCAACATTTCTGACCCCAGATGAGGGGTTTCCTCCCTCCTGACGCCCCCTCTGTGGCGCCGTCCCAACGCCACTTCCCAGCTCCCTGACACTAACCGCTAGCACGGAGCGCTTCGTCCCACAAGACACCCCGCTTAAGACACCAATGGTAAGTCGAGGAGGGGGAGTCCCCACGGCCCCTCCCCAGGTCTCACCATTTGCTGGAATGGCCCCAGGACTCCAGGAAACACTTGAGTTCGTATCACCGGTCTGTCATAAAAAGGATGTGATGCAGGCGCAGCCAGAGGGAAGAGATGCCCAGGGCGAGGTCCGGGGAAGGGCGCGGGCACCATGCCTTTCCTGGGTGCGCCACCCTCCCGGCGGGAAAGCTTCCGGAACCCTGCCATTCAGGAGTTGTATGGAGGCTTCACTCCGGAGGTGCGATGGGCCCAGCCACTGGCCGCCCCTGCAGTCCGGGGTGGGGCTG